GCCCCCGCTCACCCATCTCGCTGCGAACGAGCTTCTTGTACTCCCGCACCACAAAGGAGTTGAGGTGGCGGGGCGCGGCGCTGATGTGCTTGCTGGTGTCTTCTAGGGTGTCCTCCAGCCGCTCCTTGGCGTCGACAAACAGGTCAGGCCAGTCTGTGCAGTCCCCATCATTGCGGGTGCATGCGTGTCGAGCGGCGTCGCACATGTGCATGGCTGTGTGGGCTGCTTTGCATGTGTGTGTGCCCCTGTGCTGCAGGCTGCCGCGCAGTGGTTCGACACAGAAAGCTGCCCCGACACCAGCACAGCCACGCTCTGCGCTGCGCGCATGCACGACGCCCAAGAATCGATGGCATTGAGGTCGGCGTCCGGGCCCGCCGGCCGCCCGCATGACGCAGCTGCGACCCTGTGCGCTCTCTCACGCCGCGGCGTCGCGCATGCAAAACAGTGCCGCTCGAGGTCACGCAAGACCGGCTCGCGGTCGCCCACCTTTGACCGTGTCGACCAGCCACTTGACCCCGCTGCCCGTGGCCAGGAAGCGCTTCAGCTCCACCGGCAGCGGCTCGTCGCTGGTAGAGGTGGTCGGCTCGTCTTCGTCGCCCGTGCCGCTGCGGCTGCTTCCCAGGGCGCCGCCCAGGCCGCCGCTCAGGTGGCCTGGACGCTGGATAACCTGCATCCAATTCGCCCCGGGCCCGCCTGCGGGCCCAGGCCGCTTCTGCTGAAATTCTGCCAGATTCATGATCGGCAGCAGCACGCAGCTGGCTTGTGCACCTGGAGTGCGTGCCGGCCCTGCAGCAAGATGCTGCGCGCGCGGCGCGGCTGCGCCGCGCATGGTCTAATGCGCGCTGCACAACACAGGGCCGCAGTGTTGCTCTTGAAAGCCAGCGCCAAAGGGGACCACGCCCAATCCTTGCAAGTAATCTGGTGTCCTCTGAATCCCCGCGGACACGCTTTTTATAGAGACTGACGGCAGGACCGATGCAAATGGTCAGATCGGCGAGCACACTATATAACAAGCTGAGACCCTACTCTGTTGAAGCACTCTACGGTAGGCCAGGGGTCAGAGCAATCTGCTGAGATACACATGCAAGGAACCGCCCCTCCACGGTAGTGGCCCGTAGGCTGCAGGGTCAGGCACCTCTACCGTGAGCGAAAGTACACTTTTCACCAATCATTTTCCCAAGTATGTTCACGTGTCTGAAGTTGAACGATAGCCGGCGTTCACACAGCATCATATGCCTTGAAAACCATCGTTATTTTGCTTGACAAACTATCAAAACCTGATCACAGCTTAACTATACATGTATGGATACAGACGTGCGCACCAGCTACGTGAACGAGCTAATCCGTGCTTGCCGACGCAGCAGTGCGTCGTCAGCACACGGCATGTCCCTGAAGTTGCATGCCGGCTCCGCTTCACCGGTGCTCAGTGGTGCAGCCATGTCCAAGCATGGGGGCTTGTTGCAGGCCTGTCGCTCTGCCGGTGCGGTCAATATGCGGTGCAACCTGCACAGCGCAACTGGCACTGCCGCTTTGCAATGCGACCATCAGCACCAGCACCAGCAGCAGCAGCAGCAGCAGCAGCAGCAGCAGCAGCAGCAGCAGCAGCAGCAGCAGCAGCAGCAGGCCGTAGTCGGCACGACGGGGCCTGGCACGCACATCCGCGCCCTGTCGCTGCCCGCCCTGGACCATGGCAGAAAGGTCGCCCCTCAGGCCGGCCCCTTACTCTGCATCAATGGCAGCCGCATTGACAGTGCAGGTGTCACCAGCGGCCCTGCTATCACCGGCCATGTCATGACGCAAGGCAGATCCGCTGTAAGCAGCCGCTGCAGCAGTGCAGCAAGCAGTGCAAGGTGCAGATGCGTCAGCCGCAGCTTGACAAGCAGCACGGCCAGCTCAACCATCTGCAGCACCCAGTTCAGCAGCGTCAGTCGAGGCAGCAGCGACTGTGCCACCACCTGCTGCTCTTCCGAGAGCAGCGCCGGGGGGCCGGTCATTGCTGCGGGGTCGCCTGTTCCTGGCGAAACTGAATGTGGAGGTGGCTGCGCAGCACTTTCTGCTGCGTGCAGCACACCACAGCAGCGGGGCTGTTCCGCGGTGCAGCACAGCCGCTCACTTGCAGGGGCAGCATTGGTGCGTGGCCCCCCTCAGCTGTCTGCAGACGAGCTGGCGGCTCGCCAAGCCAGATCGGCTGCCAGGCGTGCTGAGGCATGTGCGGCGGCTGCTGATGGGGCTGGCGTAGCATTGTCAGGGGCCGACTGGCTGGGGAGCCTCCATGCCAGCACAGCAGCAGTGCTCAAGCGGGACATCGATTTATCAACAAATGGAGGTGAAAGCAGCAGCGGCGTCAGGCTTGGCCGCCTTCGCCCCCCCACATTCCCGGGCACGCACCCCACAGTCCTGTTTTCGGCCCCAGTTGGCGCAGGGGAGTGCAGCAACCAGGACGTCAGCCAGGGCGCCGACGATGGCCGTGCCGCCGCTAATGGCGGCAGCACCTGCAGCAGCAGCGTGGGGTTGCAGGCTTTGCCACTACGCCACGCCAGGCTGCTCGTCCGGTACACAGGCTCGGCCAACAAGCCCGTCAAGCAGGTGGGTGTGTCATCTGCAGCTTTCAGTTATTGCCACAGGCGTCCAATGAGTGCAAGGGCCCACGCGCCGAAGCAGACACGAGACGCTCTGCACACCGTTCTGCACACCATTCTGGACACCGTTTTGCACGCCCCGACGCAGGTGTTCAAGCAGGCGGGCTTCAAAGTCACAAAGGGCGATGCGTGGAGCGTGCTGTGGGGCCGGCCGGCGGAGCTGCTCACAGAGGATGTGCTGCGTGCGCTGGGCCCCTTCCAGCGCATCAACCATTTCCCGGGTGAGCACGCACAGTGACGCGAAAAGCAGCAGGCCTGGATCTGGACGGAGCAGCGAGCGCGCAGGTTACCACGAGCCTGCAGCAGGATGCTGCTGACCTGGACGCACAGTGTCCACTTCGTCGGGTCACACGCACCTCAGCAGACATCTCTACACTGTATAACCTATCCACTTTGTGAGAGCAATCTGGTAGATGCTGATTTTGGCAATGCTTTTCCATTCCGATCGTGCGTGCTCTCAGGTACGTGGGAGCTGGGGCGCAAGGACAGCCTGTACCGCAACGTGGCAGCTGCGCGGCGGCTCAAGGGTGCCGCATTTGACTTCATTCCCAAGTGAGAGCAGCGCGCGCCTGGACGGGGGGATTCATAAGGATTCATATCAAGACACAGAACACTTACATTGAGTACAAAATCGCCTATTTGTGCGTATGATTTCATGTCACCACACATCACAGAGCACCATTTACCTCTTGGCCTGGCTGGCATTGACTGCTTTTTGCAGGTACTTTCTCCTGCCTGGCGACGCCGGCGCGTTCCAGTCTGAGCTGGAGCATTACCCAGGCAAGTACGACTTTGAGGACCTGTGGGCGCGGTCAGCCCGCCAACCGCGTGGCAGCTGTCACCCTCCTGAGCGCTTCACCTCGGACACCGGCCGCTGCCACTCGCGACGTCGCCTCCAAAACCCTGAACGAGCACCCTTTTGTGATGTGGGCACCATTAGCAGCACCGCCGCCGTCCAAAATCTGCCAGATTGCTCGATTGCCGCCCTTGCTCAGGCGTGGCATACATACTCAAGCCAGTGGCGTCGTCGCGCGGTCGTGGCGTCCGCGTGGTCGCCGACCCGCGATCGCTAGACCTCACAGCCCTGGAGGAATGCCTGCTGCAGCGGTACATCACAGACCCCTTCCTCATTGATGTGCGTGCTCACGGGGGCAGCGGGCTGACGATGCATCGCTGGCGCGTCAGCCTGGCAATGTTGTTTTGTGACGCTGTTTGTTGATTATTTTTGACGAGGCCACCTTGCGCTCACCGCTGGTCAAACCCTGCAGGGCTACAAGTTTGACCTGCGCGTCTACGTTGCAGTGACAAGCCTTGATCCATTGCGTGTTTATGTGCACGAAGAAGGTGCGCAGGAGCCAAGTCGATTATGCAAGGGACATGCCAGGTACACGCATGTGTGCCCTTATGGATGCATCCAGCAGATAGTGCCTCTCGCGGCTTGCTGCAGGGTGCATGAATGCCCCTCCCTTTGGCTCATTGTTGGCGACCACCGCTCCCCCCTCCTGGGCCCGGTGCCTTTTGAAAACCAGGCCTGGTGCGGTTTGCCACCCAGCGGTACAGCAGCAGCAGCGCCTCGTACCGCCAGCGCCGCCGCCACCTCACCAATTACGCCGTCAACAAGGGCCACGCGGGCGGCGCCACCGCCGACGGCGGCGCGGCTGCGCAGCACGGTATCAGTGGTGATGGAGAGGGCGAGCTAGACGCGACAGTCGGCAGCGGCGGCGGCCAGGGAGGGGACGAAGGGCGGGGAGGGGCGAGGCATTGCCCCAAGTGGAGCCTGGCCATGCTTCGGCGGCACTTGGAGGCGCGAGGCCATGATTGGGGTCACGTGTGGGAGCAGGTGATGCGGCAAGAGGGGAGCCAGAAGTTCTGGCTGCAAGGAGTCCGCGGGAGCCAGCCGCTGCACCGTCTTCGTTTGAACTGGACTGCAGTTGTCCGAATTACGGAGAGGCAGCGTTGTTACCAAGCAAGGGTCTCACAATCACCACTCACTGCTGCCTTGCGTGCCGCGTGGCATCGCGGCAGGTCAAAGACATCGCTGCGAAGACCTTGATCGCCGCGGAGCCACGCATGGGCGCCTGCACGCGCGCTGCCGTGCGACACCGCAACTGCTGCTTCGAGGTGAGGGGGGGCCCCAGCGGACTGGCAGCCGCAAAGGGACGCACGCGGTCGCTTCGCCCGCGCAGCCCGGCCGCGGCCAGCCAACCAGCAGGCGTGGCGAGCCTCGCCCGCACGGCGGAGTTGTGACGCAGTCTCGCCGCTCCCTCGACGGCCCCGCGCCTGCCCGCGCCCGCCGCCGCCCGGACCCGCGATACCTCTGCATCCCACGCGCGACGGGTCCCTGCCGTGATCACGCGCCCGCGCCCGCACGGACGCGGCGCCGCACAACCTGCAGCTGTTTGGCCTGGACGTGATGCTGGACTCCTCCCTGAGGGCGTGGCTTCTGGAGGTCAACACGACACCCTCGCTGGCGGTGGACTCACCCCTAGACGAACGCGTGAAGGGCTCTGTCGTCGCAGACCTGATGTGAGCGGCCCGCGGCAGCAGCGGATGGGGTACGGGTCCGCTGCCAGGGGCAGGGCGAGGCGGAAGCGTGCTGGGTGGACCAGAAGTGGGCTGGTTCTGGCGACGAAGGGATGGGTCATGACGTTGCCAGCGTTGGCGCGGGAGTGCAGCAGCGCGTCAGCACCATTTCTGAAGCACAAGGATGCCGGCCAAATGTGCCTGTCCGCCTGCCGCAGGAACCTGGTGGGCGTGGTGCCATGGGATCCAGAGTCGCTGTCAGAGCTGGAGGAAAGGGAGCGACGCATGCGCCTGGTGGGGCTCGCCAATCCCCGGGGCGGCATCAGCCGCAGCAGCAGCGCCGCCGCGCCCCGGGCAGCTGCGGGCGCCGCGGCCGCGGGGCGGTGCGGCGCGTCAGCGGTGGTGCGGGCCGCGCCGGCCGAGCCACGGCGGCGGGCGCCGGCGGCGCCAAAGACGCTGAAAGAGGCAGCTTCCCTCGACTTCCGCCAGCTGGCCCCCTCAGAGCTCCCCGACGCGGTGCGAGAGACTGTTGCGGAGCACCGGCGGCGCGGCGGGTTCCAGCGCGTGCTGCCGTGCCCCGAGGAGCCGGACAGGCACCTGGAGCTTTTTGAGGCCCCGCGGGTGTCAAACCTGCTTCTCGCGCGGTGGGCGGCGCACGCGGCCGCAAGGCTGCTCCGCACGCCGCCGGCGGCGGCCGCACGGGGCACGCCAGGGGCAGCTCTGGAGCGCGGGGCTTGAGTCGGATGACCGCCGGTTCGACACGGGCGGTTGCAGCCAGATGGGCGGCGTTTGAACCCGGTCCTTGGTTAAAAAGCGGGGTGGTATGTTT